TATATATAGAGAGAGAGAGAGAGAGAGAGAGAGAGAGAGAGAGAGAGAGGAGAAAATTAAAATGTTATTTTCCAAGAATAAATACTTAATTTTTTGGATAGTCTTTTTCATATATAGGCAGCTAATATGTATATATTATATACTTAGCTAATACTTTTTGTGTTTATTCTGCCATGCAATAGATAAGTAATTTATCTTACTTAAAACACAAAACAACTAGATACTGTTCAGGAATACTGTAATCCAGTAGTAGTTGTAACCTAATCCAATAGCAGTTGTAATCTAATCCAAAAGTAGTTGAATTTGTAGTTGAATGATATTTATCCCTTGGAGCAAGTACACAACTGACAGGTGTGAAAAATGTTTTCAGACCAGAATATTTCCTAGTAATCCTTATATCGCTAAAACAGGTATTAAACTTAGACTTTACCAGATCAAGTAAAAAAATTGTTTTGTTTATATTGCAATGATACATTTACATCATCATAAGATTACATCCAAAATGTATTAGTATTAACAATATAAGGAAAGAATGATTTCAAGATGTCTGAGCTAATTAACAAACTTCTTGTTAGAAAGAGTCAATATTGATGTAGAAAGTGGGAAACACAAAAAAGCATAATGAACAAAAAGGGGTACCTATAATCTCACTATTTAGTAATAATTATCACTATTTTGGTGTATAGCATTTTAGTCATTTTCCTGGGCGTGCGTGCGTGCGTGCGTGCATGTATGTGTGTTTAGAAAATATGATTACCCCATGCTGACAGTTTTGTTACATCACAATTACTAGTGTTTAGTGTGGCAGGAGAACACATCTCAGTTCAGCATGCTATTTAAAGGTTGAAGCTCTGGGATCTGACCGCCTGCTGGATGAAGTCCTGATTCCATCTCTCACACGCTGAGTGGCCTTGGCAAATCACAGGGTCTCCTTGACCTTACACTCCTCATTGCCAATGTGAGAATAATAGAATAATAGTAGTAGTCTAGTGTATAGATTTAAATGGCATTATCCCTGTACGGTATTTGATTCAGGAAATATTCTATTTTTTAATGGCAGCTTAGTGGGCCATAGTTTTTTACATGCTCTATTGAAACAAACACACTGTTGTTTCACGGAAAATGGTTTTAGATGATAGGGCAGATTATATACATGTCAATACTCTAATTTTCAAAAGACTGATTATTCACCATTTGTTACAGTCGTTTCCATAAGGTAATTATGAAACGAGCAACTTCACAGAAAACACAAAACAAATGTAACAATCAACTGAAATATGAACATGGTTTATGAAAAAAAATTAAACTATAAATCCTCCATGTAAGTGACCTTACTTTTTTCTGTGTTGTATTTATTCTTTTGAAAAGAATATATGTCACCTACTGTAACAAAAGAGATTATATCTTAAGTATATGTAATCGGCATGTCCAGAATGTGATCAAGGTTTTGAACTGGTTACTCAACTTGAGTTGATAAAAAACTTAATGAGTTAATGGGGCATAAAATATTGTTTAAAATTGTCATTCCTGGTCTAACACAGTGGTTAATGTTTTACGGACTTCCTTGGTTTTTCCGTTCACGCTTGAGTCCCTTAAATCCTACGATTCAAAGAGATTAATTAACCGAAAGTTTCTATTTGCAAGCAGGTCACTTCTGGGAATAAATGTGTCTACAATAAAGTTTATGCCTTTTTAAACGCTGAATAACATTACTGGACAAAGTTGAGTCATACAAAACCCATTAAATATTAAATGTCAGAATAATGTATTATAGAACCAGAAACTTCCGTTTTCTTCAAAGATCACACCATGTGAAATCCCCTTGCTGGGTTACAGGTTGTTTGTGAGCATCACAAGAAATGATGCTTTTCAATTTCTCCTCCCTCTGTATGATCGTAATTAAGCATGTAGTTTCCAGGGCCGTCTTTCTCTTTCCGTCTTCATATCCTTCTGAATTTCTTCAGTCCTGTGGGCCCATTGCTTCTTTCGAGTGTCCCTTTTCACAAGCGTTTTATAGGATAAGAAGGATCTGGAAGCACCATTATAAAGTATTGAAAACTGGAATAATTTCAATTGTGCTGATTTATTTATAGACAATAGTCTTTCATTTGTTTACAACATTTTTAGTTCAGAAGGCTGATGTGGGATTACCAGATCAAAAATTTTGAGAATCTCTAGAGTAGCAATGGGCAAAGAAAGGATCTCAGAAATAATGCAGTTGATTACTAGCATGCTTCAATGTTTGTTTAATCATATACTAAACTGTGTGCCTCTTGAAAGCTGAGACGTTTTATTTTTATTTGTATTCCAATATGTTGCCTGACCCATAATATTAGCTTGATAAATACTTGTTGAATAAGATGAATAAAAAATAAATTCATTTTCTAATCCAATTTTCCTCTTGAATAAAGATCCTTTTAATATCTTTAAAAAATAGCACCTGAATTATATTTAAATTTAGTGTCATGAAAATCACTGTTCCACAATTTGTCCATTCTGCCTCCAGATACTAGATCCTACTTCCTTCCTTATTATCTGGGAGATTTGGGCAAGGGATTCAAATACCTCAAGAGTCAATTGGATTCTCTGTTCATTTATTATATGATCATAATGCTTGTTACAAGACTCATGAAAATTAAATTTTTTAACATGTTGAAAAATATCTAGCACAGTGTTGCTCAGTATATTGTAATTCAGTGTCAAATCGGTTATTTTTTCCTTCACTCAATCAATTGCCTTTGTATTGGGATCACACAACTCTTGTACAACTTATTTTTTCCCTGGATTTTTTGACTTTGTTGTTGTCTATTGAAAGAAAATTATACATACATATTTATACATATTAATACATATGTATATAATTATATATATATATTATACATATATATTATACATATATATTATATATATATATATATATATATATATATATATATGTATGGTCTTTATCTTATTAGAACTAACAGGTGATTCTTAATCATACAACTTGGGTAATAAGATTTATTTTCTTCCTGAAGAAATTTTTGTGCCATATTAGTTCTTCTTCAAATCACCCTTTGATTTTCTTTTGTGCACTTTTCAGTTTGGTTCAGATGCATGACATTTCTTGTTTCTTTTTTTGTTTTTCTGGATTATAACTGTAAATTTAAAAAATATATAAATAAATAAATTTTATATATATATATATATATATATATATATATACACACACATACATTTTTATTTTTAAGAAGAGACTCATGAACAGGAGGATCTTGCAACCTAAAATGTTTTCTTTTTAATTCCTTTTCATATTTAAATGAAAAATTCCCTGTACATGGAATTCTACATTAAATATGTTTTTTCTGACATGTAATGGTACTAATGGGAAGTCTGGTGCTAGTCTGATCCTCCTTCCTTTGTAGGTTACTTTTTTCTCCATCAGAAACAATTTTATGGTTTTTATTTTGTGGTTGGATTTCTAAAATTTCACGTTCTGTCTCTGAGTGTGTACCTCTTCATTTTTCCTGTAAATGTGGAGTGCTTCAATTTGAGTTTTTTTCTTAGAGATTTATTTTCTATTATGTCCGTGACTTTTTATATCTATCAATTGTCTCTTTTCTTTCTTTCAGGTCTTCCAATAGATATATGTTGGACCTTCTGGACATAACTAATTGACATTTAAATTTTCTAATATTTTCCATTTCTAAGTGTTTTAAATTTTGTATTCTGGAAGATATCTTTGTCTTTATCTTTCAGATTACTAATCTAGAATTGCCCATTTTGTTAAGTATTCTTATCGATTCTTTTCAATTAATTTTGGAAAACATAACTTTTAATTTCCAAAAATTGCTTTTTGTTCTTTTATTGTTCTTTTTTATGGCAACCTATTCTTAATTTCGTTGTACACCATCCCTTGGTCTCTCTGAGGATACTAACAGGGATTTCTAAAAATTATTTATATTTTTTGCATTGTCTCCATTTCTTCTGTAATTACTCGGTTTTCTCTGAGGGGATTTTATAACTGGTGAAGCTCAGTGTATCACTAACACTTAGGAAATTGCTGCTGAGCTGGTGAATCTCTTTGCCAGCAGGGTTTGCTCGTCAGATTGTAGGTCTGTTGCCCTCAGGCCCTTTCCTGTGTGGGAAGAGGCCTGATTGAGTTAGTCCCATTGCCAGACAGCCTCTCCTTAGATTAAAGGCTCCCTTTAGAGCAGGCAGGCTGGCAGTGACCGTAAGGGTGGAGCGCTTGATTTCTTTTATTTTGGGTAGAACTGCTTCTCCTTCTCTATTCCCAACGCCCAGCTCCATTGCACAGCTCCAGAGACATCCACTGCCGTTTTCTGCCTCTGTTCTCAGGCACTGCAACTGCCATTGTGGGAGCATTCAGGAGCATCGTCTGCTCAGATTTCAGGTGAGATCCTCAAATGGGCAAAAGTCTATAGTTAGCTGCTCTGCACATAACGAGAATATAATAATAACTCAGCAGTTCTGTGAATGAGCCTTTACTTAAATTCACTCCAGGTCACCTAGAGCTCTCTCCTGCTCTCTGTAATTTATAGCTACAGATTTTGAGCCACTTGATTTTAGTTTTTTGCCACTGAGAACACTTCCAATCACCTACAGCCTTCAACCACTCATATGCGAAGATGTGATTTCTTTGATCTAGATTATACTTGTATACAACCCGGTTTCATTACTGTCTTCTAAAGTCTTGTTAACATTTGCTGTCTGATCATGGCAGACAGTTTTTACTTTTAGCATTCTGATGGGTTTATTTACTTATTTTCATAATATATCTTTACTCTTGTTTCAATTGTATATTGGAAAAAGATTGCTCAGCATACTGTATTATAAAAGAAAATGGAGTATTTGATAAATATGATTTAGCTATGGACATAATTTCTGAATATTGAAATAAGTCGATTCTCTTGGCATAAAGATAACGTTAATCAAAGAAATTTTAATAAAGGTGGGGCGGTGATTCCAACAGTGTGAACCAAGTTCAGGGAAACCAACTTAAGGTGGAATAATACCCTGGGGTTAGTAAAAATGGGGGGTAAGCTTACACCCCAAGCCTTAAAGGTCACTAAAGTGACAAGAGGAAAGAGTGGTTACTAGAATGAAGAAGAAAAACTGATGAAGGGGTTGTCTTACAGAAGCTGTTGCCTTTGACAGAAGAAGAGAGTCTACCCACAGGAAAGAAATTAGGAAATAGGTACTTCATCTCTCCCTTCTCCCTTCTCCTGATCTGTTGTTGAGTCCTATTCACTGATCTTGTCTGGTAGGCAGAAGGTGAGAGAACTCACTGATGCCTTTTATACAGGTCAGCTTCCGAGGATGCAGAGCAGGGTGGAGAAAGATGGAGGGTGGAGCTGGACAAACAAAGGGGGGCGATCCTGCAGGGTTCATCCTTCTGCTCCCAGTCTTGTTTTTTGTTCAGATTAAGTGTTATGTGCCTGACACAGGGATCACACGTATTCCCATTAGCCATGTTGGTGACAATTCAGTGATTTACGCACCTGAAACTTAAAATGAAAGGCGTCACCAATGTGCTCACGTAAGGTAAGAAAGTGAGGGAGAGGTGGGGGTGAAAAATAAGCAAGTAACTCGCATAATAAAATACTGCTGCTCTCCTCATTTCTGTTGCTAGTCGTGAGCCCTACTTTGGTACTTACAGTCACCTTTCTTCACTCCTCAATACAAGTTTATTTTACCTCTGCCAGCACCGCAGCTGTATGGAGTTCTTTACCTGGTGTCATAATCTTGCATGATCTCAGTCCATGGTGGTCCTTTCTTTACTGTGTCACTATAGTTTCTATTGACCAGAGCTCTTGCGAAAGCGAGTACCAGTAAGCGACCCAGTAAATCCCCCGAGCTCTACACATAGCCCTCCATGTCCCAATTGGGTAACAGGAAATCATGTTACCATTGTTATTGGGATCAATCACTTCAGTCAATGTGAGCTCCTTCTCTTTGAATCGGCTCAATGGTGTGAGGAGCCCTGAATGGCCAAGAGAAAAGTGTCAGGTTCCAAATAAATCGACCATGACTCTGTTCCCTGATGGAAGCATTTCTTCCCTAAGGAATACAACTCCAAACGCACTTAATGTAAGGTTGTGGAGACTGGAAGTGAACTTCTTTGAGTTGTTTTGGTAATAGAAAAGAAAATATTCTTACCTCTGTAGTTTAGCTCTTTTCCCATGTCCTGGCTATGAAAATGATAGTAGGCACTGGTTTGAGTCGTATAACTTGGCTTGTAGGACAGAACTTTAACCTATAGATTGTTGTTTTCTGTTTGGTGAGTTAACTGAGTCCTTAGTTGGCCATGACATTGTTACAATAAGCCAGAAGCTCTTGGGTTATGGGCACGTGGTAAGATCAGTAAAATTTGTGGCTATGCATGCATTGTTCCATCTCCTTCACTTAAAAATAATTCTCCTTTTGGGAGATGATATTGTTTGGGATTTCATGGTGATGGACAAAATTAATAATGAAGACCCTTTTGGGGAAGAGCAAAGTAGAAAAAAGTGGACCTATAGGAAAATACAGCACATGCGTAAAAATTACTGGTTGGAAAGAAGGAGAAGGAGACAGAGAAGGAGTGGGAGAGAGAGCGAGGAAGGAGGAAAAAGGAGGAGGAAGAAGAGAAAGAGAAGAAAGGAAGAGGAATGGAGATGTGAATGGGAAATGGGGTAGGATACTGGATTAAATAATGTTTGGAAAAAATAATTTACTAGGGGAAAAAGCAGATAGGTTACTAGTAAGACAAATTCTTTCTTTTGACTTTGTTCTCTTAAACTTGTCAAGCTAAAACACAAGACAATATGGATTCCAGTGAAAAAATAAGTCTTAATGGAGAAAAACTAATATTAGGTGAACTCTTCTGAGCTAGAACATCATGGCGGTAACTCAAATCTAATACAATAGCAACAGATTCTTTGCCATCAGAGTTGTTCTGTTAGATTGTTGTGATTCAAGGAAGTAGTCCAAGAAGTTTTACTCAACTAGCAAAAATATCTATCATTCAATCAACCGAGTACCTACCATGTGCCGTATATTACACAAAGCACCAGGTATGTGGAAATGAAAAACCCATGACCTGAAGAAGCCTGCAGTCTTAGTAGGCAAACATACATGCAAACCAATATATATAATACAAAGTGACATTTACTATGTACAACTTCTAATGTGACCAAGGGTGAACTCAGAGAAAGATTCACAAACTATCTGACTCTTGAACGGCGGTGGGGAGTAGGGGAAAGGTATTATCTCAATAAACAATAGTGGGAGGAAGATATTATAGACATAGGTGAAAATAAGTGCAATTATAGGGAGGTATGAAATATTTAGGCCAGTATTTCAGTATAGCCCATATAGATTATGTGAGCAGCAAAGAAGCAGGAAATAAGGCTGGAGAGGAGGGAAAGAGAAAGGAAGCTGATATAAATTATTTGTATTTCCTCTTTCATTATTGTATAAAATGACAGGTAACTAAACATTTTTAGACTGTCTATGCATGAGAATAAGATAAGCCACCACAGATTTTCTCTCTCATTACCCGTTTTAATAAGCAACGAAATTCTGCATGTTGCAATACTTCTGTTTATCATCAGAGATCTGTTATTGAGAACCATTCACATCTTTGGACTCCTAAAAATTGTGACAAATTAATCATTAAGTTTGCTCCAAGTTTAATGGGATTATATTTCTAAATAATATAAATAGATGTGTTGCATATTAATTGTTTACTAAGTTATTATTTTGCAAATGAATTTAAAACTATTTCAAATATACAGAAAATCCTAAAGTGCTTAATATTAGATTGAGTTATTATTTGTTAATCATGACATCTAAAATTGCATGTACAATAACAAAGATTTGAAGAAAGGAAAATTTGGAACAATGTATTTGAGGAAAAGAAAGTTGGGAACTCTGTATAAGAGTTTGAATCTCTTTCTTATTGATTTCTTTATCAAAATCCTTAATGATATATTGAAGTGAGCATGAAATCATGAAGGAAGTTCTAGTATTAGAAATGTTTAATACTATTGATGTCATAATTTACATATTTTATACTGTATATTCAATCACAAATTATTATTGTAGCTTTGGTTATTTTTAATACATTTGTTTTTAATTTTTCAACTGGAGTTTGTCATATAAGTAAAGTTTAATTAATTTGTTGATGTAATTCATTCTCCACCTAACTTTTAAAGAGATAGAAACATACTTTTGTGATTAGAAAATAATTGGCTATGACAAAATCAACTAAGTAATTAAAATTAAATAGTGTTTGAAGTTCTTAGTATTTGTATTTATCTCTGGCATATCTAAATATTGCAAGACATATATAACTTACCTATTATAAATTTTAGTTTTAATGTATACATTATTGTTTAATGATACTTTCTGGCTTCTCTATATAAATTCATACTATATAGAAAAGTTGAACACTTGACCATCTACACAAAATACTTTTGTTTATTAAGTTTTAAAGAATCCCAGAAGATTATTTCAAAACATCCTTTCACTCTTAACTATCTTGTATCTCAAACACTCATGATCACAGAAGGCAAAAATAATGTGTGTCATTTCTGGAGGGATATGTGAATATTGTCCACAGTTTTTCATGTTTTCATTACAAAAGAAAGTGATCGGTCTCTAGGGCTTAAAGCTGGGACACTTAGCCATGCTTACATTCTTAAAGCAAGCTCAAGAACAAACAGTTCAAGTGTATACATGACATATTCCTAGACTTCTCTTGGCAAGGTTGCAGAAATGTTTTTAGCCACTGACACATCACTTCATTTTTATTTTTTCCAGCACCACGAGCAGCAAATATATGCCTACATAACTGTTGCTTCTTTGCCTGTTTTGATTTTTTACATGTGAAAGTATATTTTATATAGAGAGAGCAAGCTTTAATCTATAAAAGAAAGAAAGAAATAAACATGACCCTGGTCTGAGAGCTGCAGCTTGAGTTTTCTGTTCTCTGCTTGGCATGTGAGAGCCTGAATGGATAGAGCTCAGCAACATTTTAATAAACAGAACTTGTGTGCATATTTACACATGTACACACACACACACACACACACACACACACACACACACACTCTCCCATAGATTTGTATACACAGATCATTAACTTCCAATGGCTGAGCAAAAACAAAGGGGGAGAAAAGCACAACTATGAAAGTTTGAACATCAAGACTAATTCTCAAGAAAAAGAATGATGTTTTTCTAACTGGCTGTCCATGCAGCACCTTCAGAATTTGGATATATAATTTATATAAGAAATTTCTGTTCTGATTTCTCCTAATGTCTGCTGGTTGCTTTCTTTAGTGAAATTAACAGGGAAGCCAATATGACATTAGCTCATTTTTATGAGGTTCTCTATAACATTCCTTTCATGCTATACTATGTGTGCCATCCAATCCAGAATCCTTTCTGGAACAAGTTGAGATATTTACTTAAAAAAAAAAAAAGTGGAAAGAAGGTTTCTCCAGGAGAGATATTTAACTATAATTTTTACCATGAAAAAATGTAGTATAAAAATATTTTAAATATCCTCACTAACATATAGCAACATAGTATTAAATTTAGCAGGGTAATTCTCTATTGATAAGTTTTATCTACGAATACTTGTATATCCTATTAATATGCAAATCACATTACCCTAAAATTTATAACAATGGATAATTTTAAATGAAGTTCATGAATTGTGTTTTTTTATGGTTAAAATCTCAAGCCTTTGATCTTCTTTCCTAATTAGAAATTATGAAATATATCAGTTTCATGAAACCCCAAATAATTTTAGTTAAATAACCATATGCATTAGCTGAGCAATGTTCAGAATACAGGTGAGAGAATTATAGCTAAAATCAAATTAAGACATTTCCATTTAAAATTTTTTTGACATTTTGGATACTTTGGGTTGTCAGAAAAGTCATGACGTATATTTTCTGTTTTTCGTTGCAAAAATGCGTCATGACTTTTCTGACAACCCAATACAATAATGTCAAGTTAAAGCATGAATATGTTTCAATATTTTTAATAGTACTGTAATGTAATAATAGAGTATAAGTAATTTCAATATCATTAATGGTAATTTAATGTAATATTTGCAATGACTGGTGAAAAAAAAGAGCCTAAGAAATGACCTTCCAATAGTCCTGCTGGGACCCTTTGAATTTCTGCTCATTCCCAGGTCTGTTC